CAGGTGATCTAGCATGGGCTTCGTGATGTCTAGCCCTCCTGGACAAGCATGCCACAGGAACAACATCAAATTCTGCTGCTCGTTTCTGCCGAGGCTGTTCATGTACCTCGCAGGGCAAGATCAACAAGTCTATGTCTCGTTGGTCTGCTGGCTAAGGCGTAGGCTTTGCCCAAATCACGAAGGTATCGCACTTCCCCTGACCGGCGAGGCCCAAGCTCTGAGCCGGTGAGCCGACAAGCTCAACCTGGCCTGCCAGCCCGCCCTTTGGTCAATCCGCAGGGGCGACCCTGTGAACCTCTGCATCTGAAGGCAGAACCCTTCTGCGAAGCTTCTGCGAAGCTGAGCTCCAGACTCTGGAAGCTCAATGGACTGGTCGCCTTCAGCATGGACCTTCTTCAGCGTGCCGTACCTCACAAGAAGAGCCTCTGATCGCTATGCGGAAGCCATGCTATGCATCGGTTCCAAGGCTGGAACAGCGCAGTCACATACCAGAACTCATCAAGACCTCCAGAAGTCTCTTGCATTCCTCATGTCTGATTGAGATGGAAACGAGGGGATGGCATCCCCAGTTGCGGTTGTCGGCAAAGTTGTTGTCCAACATGTTGTTCCACCTGCAAACATGAGCACGTGAAGTCTTGGGCATGCGCATGTTACTGCAGGTCCATGCATACCTGAGACATGTTTCCCGCGCACCCGAGCTGGTTCATCTTGAAGTATGACATGAAGTTGTGCATAACACCCTTCTGCCACATGTCCTTGGCTGACCGGTCTCCGGGTAACTAGAGATGGTTCCTTCGAGCCAAGACACCGATGCCCGCTCAGCATGGGCGCGGGAAAGCGTTATCCACTGGTGCACCTTGACAGCCACCTGAACTTCCGGGCAGGTTCGGGCAGAGTCTTCTTGAGCCTCGAAAGCCCCTCGCCTCGAGGCCCCCTCCATCCGCGTTCGGGAGGTCTGCCCACTCTCCTGGCGGGAAAACCTGCCAAGCTGTACAGACCGGCGACGAAAGCTCCACTAGCGATAGGCTGCGGCAGTCGTGACAGCAGCATCAGCAGGAGCAGGAGGAGCAGTAGCAGCGGCAGGGACTGGTCGCGGCGGTCGTGGGGTCGGGTCAAGAGCTGCTAGCCCAGGTGAGGAGGCTACAGCACATCATCTCATGATTCACGATCACGTCGTTCAACTGCAAGTGCTTGTGGCCGTGGCACAGCTATCCCACTGTGTGCATTGCTCAGAGCCATCTTTGGAGCTTCTGAAGTGGAAGACCTGTCCGAGGAGGAGGCGGTGTAACCTCCTCTTTCGGCTTCTGAGTTGAGACTTTTTGTCTTTCCACGTCTGGTCTCTTGCCATTCGTGCTGCGCTTCCTGGCTCCCGAGATTCACAGCACGGGAAGAGCACCTTGGGACGCTTCGTCCAGACACGACACGACGAAAGGAGAGGAAAATGCTAGAAGCGCAACGATCCTGGCCATCACTCTACCGACATGGCCAAAAAACTTTCTAGCCACGGCAGATTGCATGGCAGAGGTTCGCAAGCGACCTGTCAGAGTAAAGTGAGTAAAGCACATCTCTTCAAGTCCTGCCGGGCAGGCGCAGAAGTCCGAACCATCCCGCTGGCCCAGGGTGCGGTAGATCTGCGCAGGGCAACATCACTCTCAAGTCCGGGCGCACTGTGGTGCATGATTCCTTCACGCCACTCCCCTCCCCCCTCCCTGCTCAGTTGTTTGGTAGCTCACCCAAGCCGATGTTGGCGCTGAGCTTCAGCTCCACACGGCACACGCTGACGAGCTACGCTGCCCTACACATTGCGCGGTGTGACTCACAAATCATGTCGCCTTCTGCAGCACAACCCGTCTTGAAAAACGCTTGGGCCCCAGATGTCAAAGCAGCAGCCGCAAGCAGGAGAGAACACCACATCTAAGCAGCTCCTCTTCCCAAAGCAACATGCACTCACAATGGTCGTTATGAGGTACGGAAGTTTGCTGGTGTTGAAACACCGACCCGCCTCCGAGAAGGGCTTCGCCGGCAGGGCCGAATCCGAGATGAAGGCAAACTTGTCCAACGCCTGGCACTGATTTCGAAAGACGGCACGTGGCCATGCAAGGCACAGAGCTACTGAGCTCCCAACATTTGTAGGGCCAAGGTCCGTGCTCAAGGCATAGCTCAAGAGCTGCCACGGCGCCAAACATGTGCAAGTTGCGGCTCGCAGGCGCTCGCCCCAACCCTTTGCCGCGTCCGGCCTGGTTCATCGGCGAGACCAGATCCGTGCAGTAGTAGCTCGCAACCTGAATTTTTGCATAGGCCGAAGGCTCAAGACCGGTTTGTGGGAAACTCGAGGGTGGAGCTGTCGGCACTGGCACGATGGGGGAGCCAGCCCTGTGAAGAGAGGCACCACCGCAAGAAGGAGTCATGAGAGACGAGAGTCTTCAGAGCTCTTGTGGGGCAGCGGCATTTGCTGCACGCATTGCTTCTCTTTGCAATGCACGAAAGCTCGGTACCTGCGCTGCGAGGTCACTGCGAAGTCACTGCGCGAACGCTCAGCCACTTCCAAGGCACTTCTCCGAGTCTGCAGAGTCGAAGAAGGAGGACCAGACGTCCAGGTTGGAGATCTGCCCCCCAACAAAAAAAGTCGAGACTTCCAGGGTAAAAGGATATATCTCACTTTGGCTTTAAGAAGCCTTGTCCACGGCCAGGAAGAGGAAGTAGACCTCAATCGAACGAGACATACACCGTTCCCGCCCAAGAAGAAGCTGCAATCCTGCAAAAAACTCTCGAGGCCGGTTCTCGCGGTGGCCGCTGCTCGGCGGAGCTGCGACAGATCGCATGCAATGAGGGATGACATGACAAAACACCAGAAGCAACAGAGAGGAAGGGAAGCAGGTCCCTTTGAAGGGTCCTGGAGTTGGCCCGCGCGCTGTGCTTGAGGGCCGAGGTCAGCGACAGCACCTCCCCGAAAGACGGGAGCTCCAAAAAAGAGGGTTTGGGGCTTATAGGGTTTAGGGGTGCTGGTGCTGCATCGGCCTGGCCTGCACTAGGCAGAAAAGCCGCGGCAGGTTCATGGGCCGGCCGACGGTCCCGGTCCTTTCTTAGGCGGCCCTACACTGACTCAATACGGAGGCAGAGGCCGCAAGTTTTGGCAGTCCTGCGGCACTGCAGGACCAACTACGTTGAACTAGATGGGACTCCAGGGATCCATGAGGACCCCTTTGAGCCTTGAGGAAATGGCCCCAGGTGTGTTTTGGCAAATCTCGCATGCCCAAGTCCTGCGAATCCGAGCTCGGGTCGCACCAGAGGGTGCCGAACTCGGGAGCACAGGCATGAACAATATAGGCCGCTCCCGCAGAGCACTGACACTTTTTGCTCTTGCACGCGTTGGCGGGAGAACGGATGCTCTGGGCACAGCCGGCGCTCCGACTTGAGGTGGAGAAGGATTCCCGAGACCCAGCGCATGGCACGAGACTATGAAGACGCGGACTGCAGCCGCAGCCTGGTCAACGTTCATCACTGTCATCATTCACGCAAGAATGCAAAAGTAATGCAAACATGTAGCCAACAAAGTCGTGGCAGTTTTTGTTCGCCATGGGGCCTGCCCAGTCCGCCAGGCGCTCCAGGCCCAAGAGGAGAAGACACTCTCCAGCTGTGCCATGATGCTCGCCGATGCTCGATGCGGTTCCAGGTCACGAGGCTGTGTATCTATGCCGGTCCTGACGATCTTTCCAAGGTCCGCTTTGAAACTCCTGATAGCTGCAGATTTTGAACCGCACACATTGGGCATCTCCGGCATCTCCTCAACGGTTTCACCCCTCTGCGTTTTCCCGGCCTTGGCTGGGCTTGTCGCGCTCGATTCGGCGGCCCTCTTGACGTCGCCATAGCAGCACTGAGCCGCTGTACTCAGTCGTCTCCGTGCTTGTTCGGCTCACTGGGATCAGCAAGTCGTGAGAAGCTCCGGCACAGGCAGAGTTGCACTTGATGGCTTGCCCAACCTTGTCTAAAACCGTGGCTTCTTTCGTCGGAAGATCACCGCCATCGCACCAGCATACCTCGAAAGGCTGCAAGACCTTAAGCAAATCCTGACTAGCGAGTGGTGCTCCCGCTCGAGCCCGCACGGCCTGGCCTAGCCGGCTCCTCACTCCTTCTCGCCTCCGTTGCCTCCCGCTCGCCGCGCCGCTGGGACCTGGGATCAGGGTCGGGGGTGGCAGCCTAAAAACCGGAAGGGACCCCAACCCTTGCGCCTGCCGCCCTACCCTAAACCCGGGCCACGAGGTGTCGCGCAGGCAACCCCGAAACCGAAAAAGCCATACCTTGCATCAGCCCTCAAAGCGCTCGACTTCCGAAGATCTTGATGGCTGCGAGGAAGAAGTTGACGACGAGAACCTGGCCGCAGGAGAGGGTCCCGTGGTCCCGTGGTTTGCAGCAAAGAGGAGGGAGGCGCACAGGGCACTTTAAAGCCACGGGGAAGACAGGGGTGCCCTGCGCAAGGCACTCCTGACTCCTGCCTGCACGCCTACCGGACACCCATGTCACATCACTCAGAGCACCCGGCCACGAGATCTCGAAATGGGACCTGCATTAGTATTAGTGGTTGGGGGGGCCGGGGTTCTCGGAAAAAGGGGGAAGGAAAGCACTCACACGCCGCACCGCTCTTCTTGCATTTTCTCTCTGCAACAATGTGCCAAAGAGGGAGCTAAGCTGTCGTGAGCTGACGACAGGTTCATAGGGACCGCCAGCGGACGGATATTATGAGCAACACGCGTGAAGCACTTTCGTCGGAAGTAGCAGTGGTCGCGACCACCCTCCCCCAACATTACGGGCCATCTACGCGAATCTACGCTGTCACGCTAAGATAGTGTGCGACACGCTGCCAGTAAGACTTTCACCATCCGCTACGAAGATGTGTGAAACACTTCCATCAAGACTGCGAAGGCATCCAGCGTCACGAAGGATGGCTCGCCTTACGACATGTCAGTTTAGCCATCAAGCTTGCGCAAGTACAGACCCATGTGCTAAGCAAAGCGGCTTTCTAAGGTCGTTAGGTGCCCAGTGGTGAGGTTGCAGGCCATGAACTGATTCCTGATGTTCAGCACGATGGCGTTACCACCTCTCACACACACATGTGTGTCCTTTTGGCCAGGAAATTATAAGCTTGTAATTTCGGACACTGAGCAAGCGCCCTATCCTTGCGCAAACTGGGCAACTATCGGAGGCCTGGCTGCAGCTTCCACAAGAGGTGCTTGCCATCGTTGCAAGGTGCAGGAGGGTTGAAAACGTCCGCATCAACAACCTTCTCCAGCGCGTTGCGCAACAATGCAAGAGACAACGACCCTCCGAAGTTCCCGTAGCTCGCGTCCCCGAGGAGTTGCCGTGCTGCCCCAATGACGCGTCGCCAAGCGCCTTGAACGAGCTCCAGTTCCTCCTGGTATAGGAATCAGATGCTGCACAGCTTCTTTTCTGCAAACGACTACCACCTCAAAGACACTCAAATCTGTCAAGAACCGCGATGCACTATGATACGCTACCGTATGCGAAGATGCAGCAACCTACTATCAACCGCCGCCCTGTATCCTTGCACACTGTGGTGCAACTGACACTTTTTAGGGCATTCTAGCACAATGGCCTGCCTTCGGCACTTCGAAAGAGCCCTGGACCCACATGTCGGCCAGAAACTGGCTGAGGTCGAAAGCTTGGGAGATGTGCTGCATCAGGGGCCTTGCTAGGATCTTGAAGTGGTTTTTTGGGCTTGGAGCTGCTATGAAAGTGACTTCGGGCTCTGCTTCTTGGCTGTGGGTGTGGGCTCAAGGCCGGGTCTATATTAAATATGGTTTCAAAACCAAGGGGCTGCATCCGCAACAGGTTGCTGCTGACAGCCTCCTTTCAGGGATCCAGGCAAGTGGCAACGCGGAAACAACCAGTTCTCTTAGATGTATTCTGAAGGGAGGTTTTTGGTGCAACTTCTCGCACGTCCCGCTTGAATTGCACAACAGCCACGAAGACGGGAAAGCCAAAGCCCTCTCCTGGAATTTCAGAACCCTACTTCCCTTGGTTTTCTCGTGCATGTCGCGCCCTCCTGAGCAACAGGTAGTAGGCTCTGGAGCTGCGGAGTCGTCTCGTTGGCAAGCCGCTCGCGCAAGCTTCTCGCGGTCAGCTGATCCACTTCCGCACACTGGAAGAGCTGGGCCTCCAGGAGCTGCGCACGCATCGCTATAGCACCGCTAATGGCTAACATCCCAAAGAGCAGGCCTCCAAGAATTCTCCGTCCACCACGAGGTTCGCCAAGAAGTCGAGGTTTTGAGACACAGACCGCCAGGTGCGCAGCAAAGATACCACGTGATCCTCCAAACAACCACAGAACAAAAGGAGGTGTCCATCTCTGGTGTCCTATGGTGTCCTGGTCCAAGTGTATCTTCGGGGGATGTGGGGCCTCTGAAGTTGGTCCCAGAGAATCCTATGATGCATTCTAAAGGACTCCCCCCCCCCTTGTAAAGGACAGCCTTTGCTGATCTTTGCTCTTAGATGTTCCTTGCACAGCAAGCCCATCGTCCTGCTCTTTGAGCCGCATCTCCGCCACCTGGCGACCGATCTCCACAACGCTCGCTCCACAGTCCCCGACTGGGAGGAGCTGTGCCAAAGTGTCCTTGCGAAGCGCCAGAAGTTACGCAGAGGCCCTTCTGCAATGATGTGGTCAGACACATTTCTGCTGTCTCTCTGTTGCGAACCACACAAACAGCACTATTTCCAAGACCTGTCCTTGTGGGCGGACACAAAGACCCTTGCTTTCTGGACATACTCGCTCACGTCGCGGTGGATCAGCATCATCAAGTCCTGCCAGAGGAAAACATAGCAGAAACCTCTCACTTCCTAAACCTCTCCGGCGCCTGGTACTTTTCCGCCTTGTCTGCACTGGCCCAAAAGCTGCTGGTAGGTTCACCGATCTGGCTGGCCTTCGGACCGATGCCGAACTGGACCAGGCTGGAGGACAAGGTCGACACCAGCAACGCTTGCTTGCGAAAGCGGCGCAGGGCAGGCTGAAGGCTCTTCTTGGTCCGCCGCTGAAAAGTCTCCCTCAGCGTCTCTGAAGGCAGCCCGGAGAGCTCTTGCCGGTAGCGGCGCAGGGTCTGCGCTGCCGACCTTAAGTTGGGCTCCTCCTTTGTCCTCGCAGTGGCGTTCAGGCCTGCAAGTTCCGAGGCCAAGCGGGAGAGCAAGGGAAGCAGCAGCTGCTCGTCTCTCGACACCTCACGGCCCATGGCCCCATGCAGGGCCTGCGAGAGCTCCAGCACCTCACCATGCACTGCTGCGACATGGGCATAGGCTTCAGCATAGGCTTCCGACGCGTTGGGGACACTTTTCGACACGTCCAGGACAGAGGTTGGGGGTGTCCAGCCGGCATCGTCCGTGGCGAAGATCGGCCGGTCTGCTAGCCACTTACCCAGGCTGATCAAATTGTCGTTCACAGTCTTCAGGTGCCCCTGCAGCACATTGAGTGGGTCAACCACATTGTTATCGAATCGGCTGTTGATGTCGACCCCGAGCTGGTCAATCTGCGTGTTCAGCTGACCCGCGTAGTCCGTCTGCATCGTGGCCAGCTGCTCGAAGTAAGCCTTTTGCACGCGCTCTTGCTCCTTGGTGTTCTGGGCGCTCTGATCTTGGGCCTCCTTCAACTTGTCGAAGAGTTCCGTGGTGTACCACTTGAGCATATCATGCAGAGTGCTGATGACATGCGTCTCTTGGGTTTTCATTGACCTGAGCACGGCCGCATTGCCCTTCAACACCTCATCCTCAATACAGTGAAGATCGCAGAAGGCCTCGTAGGGAAGGAAAGGGGAGGACGGGGGAGGCCAAGCACAGAACCGCTCTCACCCCACACCTAAGCCCTGCGTTTGAAGCCCGCATCCTTGTACATGGCTCCATCCGTGTAATCTGCACAGCTGTCCATAGCCTCCGGGTTCAAAAGTTCTCATGAGTTGCACGGCATGGAAATATTAGCGGCCGTATGGGCCCTATATGGCCCTATGCTGCTGCACTTGGCATGAGGCGCCTCGTTTTCGCCATAGTAGCCCTGCCACGCAACCCAGTAGCTGTTGAAGCCGAAGTTGATGCCCTCGCTGATTCCATCCACCACACTTGAGCAAATGTCCCCGAACCGCGCCAGGAAGCCAACGCCCATCCCCAATGGGGCAGTAAGTCCTTCCACATCTGGGATCACCTGAAACATCGGATGTCAACAAAAGCACAGCTCTGCACAACCTTCAAGGCAGTTCAAGGCAGCCAATGCACCCCACAGAGCGCAGAAGCAGTCGTCGCTGCCATGTCCAGGTAGAGTTGCCGCGCATCCTCGAAAATCGCGACGTAATGCAAGCGGCACAAATGCTTACAATCCCGAGCCAGTCCAAGCTTCATGCTCCATCTCCTTCTGCGCCAGTTCCGTTCCCCGGACACTGCGCCTGGGGATGCAAGAGGGCATGAGGCTCAAGTTCCATGTCCAAGCTCCCTTGGAGCGCTCGCCGCGCTAGCGCCCACCTCGTTGCGCAGGCCTCCATGGCTTCCGGCGACTTGCCAAAGATCACCTGGCCTGAGGAACTTGTTCCAGCAGCGGTCACGGCGGTCATGGCCTTTTCCATAGGGTCCGCTTCGAGCAGATCCCTGTCGATTCCTGCAACATTGCATAGAGAGAGCGAGAGAGTGAAAAGAGTAGGGGAGGGGCGAGATAGAGAGCAGCCAAGCGATGCCTTCGTAGATGTCGATCTCCTCTTCGTCGTCGTCTCCTGACTTGGCACTGATGTGTAGTGGCTCTCAGGCACCGTCAATTTTTTTAACAAAAGAGCAGGTACGGTTGCGCTTCGCTTGCGTCCTGAGTCTTCGGGCTCAGGAGATGGCGGTGATGGCGACGGCGAGGCCGGAGCAGATGAAGGCTTTTGTGAAGGTGAGGGCGACGGTGAGGCAGATGGACTTTCGGTTCCTACGCAGAGGTACCGTGCAGGGAATCACAACAGCACTCTACCAGACTCTACCAAGCATGACTCCTTGGTTCTCCATCTTCTCCATCTTCTCGTCCATCTCCTTCTTACTCTCCTTGGCCTTGTCCTTCTTCTTGCCTCGCTGCTCCTTGCGCTTTGCGACCGCTTGGCTTGTGGCCTTCTTCATGTTGTCAGCGAAGTCGGAGACGGTGAGTAGCCGGGTCACATCGAAATCTGTTTGCCAGGTGGCATCATTGACTCGGGAGTCATCGTGAAAGTAGTGGTAGCAGGGGTGCCAGGAGGACGATGCCTCGGAAGTTCGCTCCAGGTTCTCTGCCTCGTTGAGCACCCCCAGCTGGTTTCGGCGGTCCAGGCCCCATCCAGACTCCTCCTCCTGCTGCATCCTGCATAACAAGGAAGAATGGCAAGGCCCAAGCAGAAAAAACAGGAGAGCGGATGTCTCGAAAGCGCATGCCAGCCAAGTGTTTAACACGACATTGTCAACACCGCACGCGACACATCGAGATCACTGAGAGGGTTGTTTGTATTTACGACGACAAGCACCACTTCGTGACGGGAAAAAGCGAAAGTCTTCGCTTGGACTCCGGGGACGACCCCCTTGCTCCCATCCCAAGGAGTCTCGGGGACTCAGGGCTTCCTGGCTCGCTGGGCCGAGCGACTCCCGGGGCGGAAGCGACAAACTTCAGAGACTCATTGCTTCGGAGCTTCGGCTGACGGCATTCGCTGCGAACTCTGCGAACTGTTTAGGGCTCGGGGTTTACCGTAGAAGTTCAATGTTTAGGGTTTAGGCTTTGGGGTTTGGGGTTTACCGCAGAAGTTCAACGAAAACTGCGCACTGCTTGTCATTCTTTGCTCGCGCGCAGAACTCCGCAAAACGTCGCGGCGCCAAACGCAGAGCGGCATCTGGACGTCCGGACACGAGGCGTGGTTTACGAGCACGAATCGCCGCGGCACCACACGCGCAATGTGTGCTTGAAGTGCGGTGGCCTGCCCTCTGCTATACCGTACATTTATGCGAACTTATTTTTTAAGACTACTAGTTACTAGTTATCATAAGAGATCATGAGAGAAAGCTCCGTAAGGCCATCCTCACAACATGCTATCCATCCTGCAATATCTTGCACCCTCCACGCGTTTAAGCTGCCCGCAACACTCTCGGGAATACAGGGACACATGAAGGGGGCCATCAGGGCGTCTGCGGTATACGTGACGGTACACGTTGAGAGGCCGAGCAGCTCTGCGAGACTGTCTCACTGCTTCGGGTCCCGCATGGCACAGTAAGGTCGATAGTTGGGGCTGTCTGGCATCCAATTTTCCACCATGTCCATGTCGTAGCCTGTCAGCTCCTTGCTAGGCTTGAAGTGCTCGATGGCCTGGTCCTGTCGAAACTCGGAACTTGGCATTGTTGGACCTTTCTTGTTGACATGGAAAAAATCCTCTGAGTCCTCCAGCTCAAGTCGCTCAAGCTTGAAGGAGGTCATCATGGGCGGCTTCTTGAACTTGACGATCTGGCAAGGGGGGGCCCTTAGCCTAGTGAAGTGCAGTGCAGAGTCCCTTTTGAACGCCCCGCCCCCCCCGGTGCCTTGAGCTCCTTCATGGGAGCCCCAGGCTCCTGCTTGCTCTTGATCGGGCCCACACTTGACACCTCGAAGGGATCCTTCAAGGACTCACTGCTCACAGCTCCGGAGTCCACAGCTCCGGAATATGAGCAAAAAAAACCGGAGCTTGCTGCTTATATGAGCACGCTCAGCATGGGCCAGCATTTTGGTCACCCCTTTGTGTCCTCGCCGGCAAACTCGAGTTGCAGAGCATGGGCCGGGGCCTGATCCACGCAGGTCTTGTTGGAGCCCTCATAGAAGAGGCACCACTGCCCCTTGTGGCGCTCGTAGCTGAAATTCCGCACCGCGCTGACTTGGCTCCGATCATAATGGTACCTGCCAGGGGGGCCCAATGGTCTTTGGTCTCAGGCCGGGCGGAGCAGAAAGAGGCAGGCAAGCAAGGATCGCACCTCGGCTCGTAGAGGAGCCGGCCCTCCACGCGGCCCGTTGGGTAGTACTTGCCCTCGAAGTCACCAAAGGACCTGAAAGAGAGACGCCCCTAGCACGCGAACAAGCACGGAGAGGAGCGTCGCTGCCGCAGGAAGCTTCGTTGCTCCGATTTACCGAGGCACTCTGGAATCGGGTCATGCTGTCCAACAATCGAGATGGGCTCGTGAGGAGCCACTTGGCAGCAGGTGTAGAGGAAACGAACCTCCGACTTGCTCTCACCGGGGTCTTTGGCCTCCAACACGAAGTGGTTCAAGATCCAGTGATCCTTTTTGCGCCAAGGAGTCTGCGGACAACAACTGGACGGTTACCCGGTTACCTGTCGTGACAGTCCTTGCAACCGATCACGTGCTTCGCCTGGGGAAGCGGCGCACCGAAGCCGTGCTCTCAAGCGCAGCGCACCAAAGATGGCAAGCTCAAAAACCGAAGGACTCCAAAAAAGGACACTCCGAGGCGAGGGGCCAAGGTCTCCATTCGACCCTTCAAAGAGCTCTCGCGCTTCGTCCAAGGCGTCAGCTCCAGCTCGCAGCCCCCCATCCCCTGCGCGCAGGCGCTCGAGACGGTTCTCTCTCTCTGCTCCCTCGGACTAGGGTTGGGTTTATAGGCTTTAGGGTTTATGGTTTAGGGGTTTGCAGGTTTGGGGTTTAGGGTGTAGGGCTTAGGGTTTAGGGTTTTGGGTTTAGGGGTCCCACTCTCTGTTGTACCACAGAACTGCCTCCACATCGCAGCAGCGGAACTGGTACATGTAGCCTGCACTGCACTTTTGCAGGGCCACCTGAGCAAGAACGGCCCGACGACTTTCTAAGCATGCCGGACCAGCCAGTCTCGCTGCCGTGCTCCGAACATTTTCGGGTTTCGGGTTTAGGGTTTATAGGATTTTATGGGTTTAGGGTTCAGGGTTTGCAAGTGAAATCACCTGGCTGCTCCCTCACTAGCGCGAATATGCAGCCTTGTCAGTCGAGGCACAAAAGAGTGTGCTGAAGGTTCTTTAGGGCTCTGCGTGCCGAGCCATAGCACCGACCCCAGTACTCACGTCTGCTGTCAGTTTCCAGCTTGAGCATCCTTTGATACCGTGCAAGTGGCCTCTACCACTTGCATGGTAGCGGAGCCAGGAAGCTCCAATACCTTAGAGCCGCGATCCAGGGACCAGTGAACATCAAGCGCGAGGCCCTTGATGTCTACAAGTGGAGGAGGAGACGGACCAGCACGGTCAAAGGATGGGGTCCCACAATGGGACGGGAACAGCGCCACTTTCCAGAAGTACGAGGAGGAGGCGCTGCTCTGGCAGGAAGGGATTGCCTACCACAAGCGGTACATGGCGGGACCGCGATTAGTTGCTGAACTACAAGGCTCAGCCAAACGCATGGTTGTGGGAAAGTCGGCGAGTTGGGTTTCCTACTCTGGAGGAGTGGAAAGACTCATGCGACACCTCCGAGAATGCCTCGGAAGGCCACAAGTGACGGAGCTCACAGAGTACCTCAACCAGTACTTCCGCCACTCACGGCGCCGCACAGTGGTGAGTCAATCAACGAGTACGTGACTCGGAAGAGTGAGATTTACAAGCGGGCACAGCAAGCACTCAATCGAGTCAAGCCGCACCAGGAGCCAGCGGCGAGCCGGATTCCCCGCGAAGCCGGGTATTCAGGGCAACGCCGCAGCAGCTGGACATCGGAGACAACGACGACGGCTGCAGATGGAGATGAGGAGGAGCCCGAGGCCCAGACAGAGAACACTCAGGCGGCCACGTGGGACGCCAGCAGTTCCTACAGTGGCTGGGGCGGCACCGGGAGCTACTGGGCGGGAATGCCGTATTCCAACTGGTCAGCCGTAACTATGGCGAGGCCGGCTCCTCGCGTGGCGCGTGGGAAAAGTCGAGTGCCGGACAGACGGAGCTTCTGCCGGAGTGGGTGCAGGCGTGGTACCTGCTCCAGGACGCCAACCTCAGCACCAGCGAGCGCAATATGATTTTTACGGCACTGAAGGGGGAATTCAGTGTCTTGAAGGTGGCACAAGAGCTGCGGAATCAGTGGACCGAGGCAGACCTCAAGAAGAGGGACCAACACTACAAGGGCTCCGGCTTCCTCGGGGACGCGGGCGCCGACGAGGACTTCGAGAATCAGGAGGCGTGGCAGGCCGGGGAGAACGGCGAGCACGACGACGACCTCAATGACGAGCCCTCATCGCCGAGGCCGAGGATGAGGCCCGACAAGCCTGGGCCGTCTTGCAGAACGCCAAGCGCACACTCAAGGATGCCCGTCAGCGCCAACATCAAGTGAGAATGTCCAGGAATGACATGCCTGAAATGTGGCCAAGTCGGCCACCGAGCGGCGAACTGCACCAAGGAAAGAGCGCATGCGGCAGAGGATCAGTCAGCCCCCTTCGTCTGCTACGCGGAACAGGCGCTCCTTGGGGGACAGGGAGGCGACAATCGGACGCCCACAACGGCAGAGGCAGTCCGAGCCGGATGGGGAGTCATCGACGGGGGTGCGACGCGCACCTTGGGGTCGGTTCAGGCCATCGAGGCGGTGATGAAGGTCAATGAGGGCAAGCACGGGAAGACCGGGGTGCAGAGCGTGGACCTGCAGAACCGTCCGATCTTTGGCTTCGCCGATTCCGGAGAGGCCAAGTGCGTGTCAACCATTGACCTGGGGCTTCGAGCTGGAGGACAAGATGGAATGTTGCGAGTGCACGCCCTCGACAAGGGCTCGGGACCTATCTTGGTCTCAGTGGCCACGCTCCGAGCGCTCGGAGCTATCATTGACTTTGAGAAAGACCTCCTCGTCTTGCGGAAGCTGGTCCCCACCAAGTTGATCCACCTCCAGAGGTCCACCACAGGCCACCAGCTCGTCAATCTCACGGATGACCTTTTTCAAGATGCCACACCGGCCACAAAGGCCGTTCCGTCTCTGAGCTCGTACATAGATTCGTCCGAGTAGGGAGATGACCCCTTGTTGACCAGTCCGGATGGAAACAGGGGGAGCGAGATTTTTGCGGAAAGGGTAGTTGATTGTGCCAAAGCGCCTGTAGAGCCTCCTCTAGAACGAAGGGGTGAGGGTGTGTTTGGTTTGGGGTGTGAGGTTGATAGTTTTTCCAGTGGAGCTGTGGGTGCACAGAAGTTCAAGCAGAGTTCCGAGTCCGCAGATGTGTCTCTAGCCGCCTGTCGACTACAACAGACTACGCAGCAGTGTCGAGATCCGAACTACCATAGTGACGATTGCTCGGACCTTCCCAGACTTCATGCCGGCCATGGAGAAGATGACCACCAAGCAGTTGCGCGACGCCATCAGCACCTTCGGCGAGATCCCGGCGGAGAGTTGGAACAACTCCCAGCTCCGACACCGGCTGCAGGAGTTGATGGTGGAGCAAGAGGAGGAGTGGGCAAGCCCGAAGAGCCGCAGCAAGGACACACCCTTGCAGCAGCAGATCAAGCAACTCAACCGGAACAAGCGCAAGAAAGCCGAGCTGCAGGAGTATGTGTCCCGAGTCTTGGGACTACCCGTGTCCGAGAACGAGACCATGTGGCAGCTCGAGGTCAAGGCGCTCGATTACCTCTACGCCAATGTGGAGAGCTGCGGCAGAGATGTTGTGGGGTTTGGGCGCCATGCCAGCTTGACCTATGCGGAGCTGGTTCAGCAGTACCCTCGCTATGCGGAGTGGGTGACCACCACTCACAAGGAGACCGAGGAAACGAACCCGCGGTTGAAGAGGCTGGCCGGGTGGCTGATGAGAGCTACCGATGTGAGCGAGCCGGTGCGACGGCCGACGACGACACAGGACCCGCAGCGGCTGAAGTTGAAGATCAAGGGTGGCTACTTGACGGAGCCCGAAGTCGAGACACCACCAGCCACCACAGCCGCATCCTCGGGAGCGAGCCCCTACCCTGCAGGCCAGATGGAGCTCATGGCGACTATGATGGAGACAATGAAAAGCATGCAGGAGGAGCTCAAGGAGATCCGCCAGATGGGGCCCCAGAACGACGAGCGCCCTCGGAAGAAGGACAAGTGAGTGATGCGGATCTACGGCATCAACAGTGGTACAGTATGAGTACCTCCCCGAGCCCATCGGCTACCGAACATGTTAGTCGGGATCTTAGTCAAGAAGAGGCGTGGCGCTTAGAACAACAGGCCCACAGCTTAGTGCCCGGGTTGATGCAACAGCTAATGGCTAATGACGGCTAATGATGGGCTCGGAGGGGAACGTCCTGTGCTGATGGAAGCTGGCTGTGAGCCAGACAGCAGCCTGACACAGGCTGTTCAAAGGGTTTCAGGAAGTTTCCAGGCGGCAGCTCGGTGTGCTCTTTGGAATTCGGGCGACTTGAGTACCAACGAAGGGTTAAAGTTTGTGCTTGATAGGATTCGGATGGAACAGCCCTTGAACGTCTAGATCACACTTCCAGGCACAGCTTTTTCGCCGATGCAAACAGTGAATCAGAGAACAGAAGCCCAGAAGGAAAGGCTTGCTGAGCAGCGTAGGCAGGCCATGAAGGTGTATGTTGGTGCGTGTTGCGTTTTTCACATGCGCATGCAGTGTGGCATACATTGTACCTTGAGTCTGCCGGAACGTTGTGAAGCGTGGCGACTGCCGCTGTTTCAGAGCCTACAGCGACGCTACCACTTAGGAACTTCAGTGACCAAAGGTTGTCAGGTGGGATTTCGGAACCAAGGTGAAGGGAAGTTGCTGCAGTGGGGTTGGAAGGTCATGTCTAGTCACAAGAGGCTTCTGGAACAGATGGATCTTCCGTGTCGCTGTAGTAAGAGCTACCCGCACGGCCGGTGCGAGAGCCTTCGCAATCCAGGCCACGTGGAGTATACTGAGGACTATGCGCGTAGGGCCGCTGAAACGTTGTGTCAGGAGTTTAGCTACGGGACCTTGATGAGAGAGTGTGAGGGACAGAGTGTGTTGCCTGAAGGTTTCGGTTGTGGTGAGGTTTGCACTTGTGGAGAAAGCAAGATTCGAGATTTTCACATGACGTGTGGGAATTGCATCAGTGGCCGCGAAGAACTTGAATTTCAAACGGATGAGGCCCAGAGACCCCAACAGCCCCAAGGAACCGAATCGGAAACGCACGAGCAAAGCATGTACACTCAACAGGAGAAACAGCAGGCAGAGACCATGGCTGCCAAGTTGACTAAGGAAAAGAAGTATGGAATTCAAGAGATACAACCCCTGCTTGAGCTCATGTCCCAGCTTCGTATAGGCCGCACCAGAAACATGGTCCCAGGCACCAAGGCCCCTTATCATGTGTTTGGTCTCTACTCGCATGGTAGGAGTTATGGAGTGACTAACAAAACGGAGTTGTTCCCTTGTGTGACTGCCTATGTCAATCAGTGGTTGCGAAGAAATCTTCCCCGAGGAGCAAAGTGGACGTCGTTTGCTCTCAGCACCAACAATCGTATGCCAGTGCATCGCGATAACCACAACGACCCGAGTTCTGTCAACTACGTGCTAGGAGTAGGCTCCTGCAAGGGAGGAGAGCTCTCGGTGGAAACCCCACCCGGGTACACGGGCCCCGACGCCTGTGCCCAGGAGTCGATCAACGGCAAAGTCCTACAGGGCCGCAAGCTGCCGACCCTGGGCCAGTGCGTCTCTTTCTCTCCGAAGGCCTGGCACGGTACGTGCGAGTGGACTGGAGACCGCTACACAGTCACGGCGTATGTGAGTAGAGGTGGTAGGATTGTGGAAGACGATATCCGGTGTGAACTGCGGTCCAGGGGTTTCGGAATTTCTGAGGGTCCTTCGGAGATGCGGGAGCAAGGTTTGGTGATTCAGAGGGAGGGTCGTTGCAAGCGTACCTTTGTAGGTGTGGACAAGCAACACGATGCGAGAATCAAGAAGCAACTTTATCTCCTGCATGCAGCAACGGGTCATGGAAGCACGCGCCACTTAGTGGAGGCACTGCGACGTCGTGGAGCTTCAGCTAGGGTTTTGGCTTTGGCTAAGGAGTTTCAGTGTTCTGTGTGTCACGAGAAGCGAAGAGTAGGGCATCGACACCTGGCGACTCTGGAACCACTCCCGCCACGGTGGAGTACCGTTGCTGCTGATGTAGGACATTGGACCCACCCCCAAACCAAGGAACAGGTGCAGTTTATGGTGATTGTGGATGAGTGTTCCAGGTTCAGGGCTGCCCGGATTTTAACCACAGGGTCGAAGCAACAACCCAATGCGATGGCCTGCCTCAACTACCTTCAGGAGGGATGGATGCAGTATTTCGGGAAGCTGTGGTTCTGAGACTGGATCCCGCGGGTTCTTTTCGGAGTCAATATGTGGAAAGTTTCTGTGATAGGCATGGGATCCACTTGGAAATCATTCCCGGAGAAGCCCATTGGAAGCTGGGGATTTGTGAACAGGCCGTTCAGGGTTTGAAGGATGTCATGACGAAGACATGTCTGGGGGAAGAGGGGATAGGTGCTGAAGAGGTCTTAGCTGTGGCGGTGATGACTTTCAATCACCGAGACACTGTTCAAGGTTTCTCCCCTGTGCAACACGCCCTAGGTCACAACCCGGACCAGGTAGGCCCCGTCATGGAAGTGATCAATCAGGCCCCAGTCTCCATGTTGTGGGAAGACCCCCAAGGTGAAGTAGAGCGAGCTGCGCGATTGAGAGCTGCGGCTGAGAGTGCACACGCATCTTGGATAGCACGCCAGAGAATCATTAGGGCTCAAAACTCCAGAAGTCAGCAAGTCCTGGATTTCCAGCCGGGTGAGTTAGTGTACGTATGGAGGGCCCAGACAGGCCAGCAGGGTCGCCGCCAGCCAGGCGACAAGGACCGGCCAGAATCCTGGCCACAGAGGCAGAAAGCGAAAGCACGCGCCGTGCTTTTGGGGTATCAGGACCCCAAGTATGAACATCGAGCAACGACAGCACCTGTGATGACACGCCAGACGCGTCAGATGCAGCTGCAACTTTCAGCCAATCGAGGCTGGATGGTGCAGAAAGGAGACGTGTCGGGAGCGTTCCTCCAGGGACGCGAATATCCAGATCAGTTGTTCTGCGTGCCGTGTAAGGAGATCTGCGAGGCGATGGGATTGCCGGAAGGGACAATCACGCGGCTGAGACGCGCGTGCTACGGCCTTGTGGACGCGCCCCTGGAATGGTACCGTACAGTGGATGAATATCTCTGCGAGCTCGGTCTGGAAAGGACCCACGCGGATGCTTGTGCCTGGGTGTGGCGGCCTGGGGAGAGTTGCGCGGCATGATATCAGGACACGTGGATGACTTCCTCTTCAGCGGCAGCGCCGACGATAAACCGTGGCAAGCCATCTTAGAAAAGATTCGGCAGAGGTTTAAGTGGGGCGACTGGGACCAGGACCGGTTTGTACAGTGTGGAGTGCAAGTTGATAGAACACCCGAGGGCTTTCAGCTTAGTCAGCCACACTACCTGGAAGGGATCAAGGAGATTCCACTTTCTTCAAGTCGCCGAAAGGCGAAAGACGAGTCAACTGGAGAGCGCGAAAAGACGCAACTGAGGGCCCTTCTCGGAGGACTCTCCTGGCATGCACAACAAGTGGCTCCCCACTTGTCAGCCGAGGTAAGCCTACTCCTCTCAGAAATCTCTGAGAGTACCGTCAACACAATAATCAAAGCCAACCTCCTAGCGTACCAAGCTAAGGCCCGCCAGGACCATCAGATGCTGATACACCGGTTTTCAGCTGAGGAACCTCTGGCTTTGTTTGGCTGGGTTGATGCGGCGAGCCAGAACAGACGGGAAGGAGGCTCGTCAAGGGATTTTCATTGGGATGGGTCCTGCAAGTATGCTACATGGTGAGATGGGACGAGTTACACCCATAGCATGGCACTCCAATAAAATCGACAGGTCGTGCAGGTCGCCAGGGGCAGCGGAAGCACAGGCTGCTGTAAATGGCGAGGATGCACTATACTTTGTCAAGATATCAATGGAGTGAGTTGTGTTTTGGGAACGTAAACTTGCGGTATCCCGATGAGACCGTCGCTAAGGTCACAGGATGTTTGGTGACGGACTCAAGGAATGTATATGATAAGCTACACACCGAGGTGCTTGTCATAAAAGGCGCCGAGAAGCGTACTAACATCGAGCTGCTTGCCATCAAGGAAGCCCAAAGGAACCACGGGGTGCTCATTCGTTGGGTGCATTCAAAAACTCAGTTGGCTAACGCCCTCACGAAACACGGCAGTCGCGAGATGGAGTTGTACTACCGAATGCGCCATTCTTGGCGTATTGTGGAGGATCCGGAGATGATGTTTGCTCGGAGGAGGAAAACTGCTGGACTTGAACCACTAGCCACTGGAAAGTAAGAGGTTTTCTGTTCTTCTAGGGGAGGAGGAACCGGGGCATGCAGGTGAAATCACCTGGCTGCTCCCTCACTAGCGCGAATATGCAGCTTTGTCAGTCGAGGCACAAAAGAGTGTGCTGAAGGTTCTTTAGGGCTCTGCGTGCCGAGCCATAGCACCGACCCCAGTACTCACGTCTGCTGTCAGTTTCCAGCTTGAGCATCCTTTGATACCGTGCAAGTGGCCTCTACCACTTGCAGGGTTTAGGGTTTAAGGTTTCTCCACCACAACTACTAGTCAACTAATGCAAGCCAATGTCCTGAACTCTTTCTCTTGCGGGTCAGTCCTGTTCAAGGATCCAAGGCGCATGTTGTAGCGCTTGACCCGGGGAGCACTGAACACGGTGGGCTTCCAACTGGTAGAGATCGGAATCCGTGGCCTGAACCAATCGACAACGCATCAACACTACTTCTCACAAAAATCTGAGATACTTTGAATCTTCAAATGTAAGTCTCTGTACGCTTGAGGCCCTACTTGGCTCCCTTCATCATCCGGCATGCACTGTCCTGGCGAAGCGTCCTACGCTGTCCTACGCAAACAACTTTCTTGACCAAGTCCCGCCCGCGCGCAGTCCGTCTGCAAGACGTGGCATTTGGATTCTTCGAAAACCATGCTCGCCATCCAGTAGCCTCGGAGTAGGTTAGTGACGGTTAGTGAGCACCGTCGGCAGTCCACTGCGTTTTTTTTTCTACTGGACCTATTCTTTTCTCTACTGGACCTTTTCGCAAGCCTTGAGGGGACAGGCAAAACACCTCAACAAAGAAGGGCTGTTTGGCACGATCAGAACTCCTGAGCACTGGCCGCGTTTGTGGAGCGGTTTGGTATCGTGTCTGCAGGCCTTCCAGACCGTCTGTATGCAGGCTTAACCGTATTGGACTTCTACCGCAGCCCGTGTCAGAGACCTCCTTTCAAGCCAGGAATGCCAAGGAGCTGTAGCGAAACTTGTTGCCTTCCACTTCCTTTAGCTGGATCTTGGACAGGAAGTGCTGGTTGAAGGGGTCCCCCACCTGCTCAGACTGAACAGTCTCCCCAAAGCACGATTGACATGACCCACTTGCGGCACATGGTCCCTTCTGGTCTGGTGAGCCTACAGCCCCCTAAACCCTCAACCACGCTCGTGAGCCGAGGGATGTAGCTTGCCAACCTTGTGACATCTAAGGGAGGCAGGAAAGATGGTCCGGGCCCATCAGTTCTGGCAAACAGCCGTCTGTGTGCATATGAGCTTGGCGAGCAACTTGCCCAGTAATATAAGATGATCGAGTGGAATATAACATAATATAGTATAGTATAATTGAATATACTATATTGTTTTATCAAACCGTATCATATCCTATCATAGAATGCACAGGGCATTTATAAGAGGCGCGCACCTGGCCCATGTCCACGAGTAGGTCCAAGGCGTTCTTGCTGCCTACAGAAACCAAGGAGCAGAGGGAGTACTGGTCGATGCCACAGACGTGCTCTACATTTCCGTGCTCTTTCATCGTCCAGCGGTTGATATGCTCATGCAAGGCATCCATGGGAACCTGAAGGCGGGGAAAGAGCAGAGCTTGTGTTCAGGTCTTCCGGCTCCCTCAGATGTCTTCCCCTCGCCGAGTCACCAGCTGCCGAAGATCGTGCTCATAGCATGATATCATTGCCCCATTGCCAGCATCAACGCATAGGGGTCGCCCATTGCCTGCAAACTCCAGCAAAGCGCGCCCAGGCGCTGCAGGCACCGGTAGGAAGCGCCACGTGTCCCGGCTGCCCGAACGGCACTCGCCCCACTGTGCTTTCATGGGATGGATCACAGCCACCTTCTGGAGCCCGCGGCAAGTCTCACGCTCGCCGCTTAGCCGTAGAACCGTGCTTTGGTTTCCCATTACGAACACTGTGGTTTGGAAGATTTTCTCAGCCTGAGGCTGGCAATACTCCCACGCCACGTCCAGGTCGTCCACGAAACACCAGATCGTCGAGGAGTTGTCCGGATTTCTGCAAAAGGAATGATTTCCTAAACCAGCCTCGCTCGAGTTGATATTGCTCCGCTTTGCCTCCAGTCGAGCGAGGCTGGCTTGCCACGGCAAGCACACACGCCCGCTGGCCGTGTGGTCTTGGCATCCACGGTAGCCCCAACCGTTGGCCTATGGCAAAGCCAGGAGACTAAAGCGGAAAAGGCAAAGAAGGCGGAAACTAGCAGCTCTAGCTCAAACCCAAATTGACCTTTCGGCCCTGCGGGCATCCTCCAGCGACTCGTTGCAAAGGCTCTGCTGCGCAAGCTCTGCGACAGGGCGGTCCATAAATCGACAGGAGGTGACTTCGCCCAAGAAGGTCATGCGCACCTCGTATTGCGTTCCTGGAAAGGGGGGCAAGCTTCCATTTCAGCATGCCTCTGAAAAAGAGCTCTTAACCTGGGGTGGCCCGGTGTCCTTTTTTATGCACTGGCACGGTGATGTTGTAGGAAAGTGTGTCGCCGAAGTGGCAGCTGCAGGACAGGTCCGGACTGCAGGGGCAATCCTCGAAACAGGCCTTGGAGCCCTCGAAGGACTGGAGGCCAGCGGGGCACAACTCGCAGGCCGTCTGCCCCTCCGAAGAGGCGAAGCGCCCAGCAGGGCAGGCCGAGCAGGCGGCGGCCGTGCCCGAAGAGAAATATCCACTCGGGCAGGGCCTAAAGACAAGAACAACATCCGTGTACTGAAGTCACTCAGTCGGCGTCCCAGATCAAAGGCAGCCCACATGCAGCCGCGACACTTGCAGTTGAAGTCCTGCATTCGCAGAAAGTTGTCTTGGTACTTCCCTGCTGGGCAGCCCTCGCAACTGGTAGCGCGCCGCCGCCGGGATGCGTAGCCCACATTGCAGGTCAGGCAAGAGGCGGAGCCCTCAAAGTTGGTGTACAAGCCGGTGCCGCAGGGCTCACACTCCTGTGATCCGGGGGAGACCGGAATCTCTCCTGCGCAGCGGCGCTTTGTGAAAAGACCGACTTAATGCGTTGACACGTCACTGGAGAGAATGTCTGCTGTTCTCTGTCTGCACTTGTCATAGGATTATAATTGGATTTTCTTGGATTCTCGTGCAGTGCAGTCAAGGGTTCTGCCCGATTCACATGGACATTGGACAAGGCTGTAAGAAGGGCATGCTGCTGCTGTGCGGACTGTGAGGTGAGCTGGCATTTACCGTTTAGCATGTCAGCGCTGCCACCAGCGACCGCTTCGCCATTCGTTCTGCAGTAGGATCACGCCTGTCCTTTTGGGCAGGTGCTGCATCCATCCACGTATTCGGGCGTTTTTGTGGCAAAGACCGAACGTCGAAGCCGCCAATAGTACTTCACGTTGAGATTGTCTTCTCGCCAACCCCATGTGCCCAAGTTCTCTTCAGGGCGAGGAATGTACTGGTACAAAACCCAATCACTCACGAACGCCGGAAAGTGGTCCCAATACATATGTTGACCATACCTGAGCTAGTTGCAGGGATTTCTTGAACTCTGGCCAGTTTCTCACACATGTTGCAGGCAGCTGAGCGGCACGTCGTACTGATATCTTTCGTGGTAGGCAACATACTTTATGTTGTACTTGCGCGGGGCATTGCAAGCCTTAAACTCCCAGCCATTCCACGGTGCGGAGAATCGCATGCCAACAAAGAACTTCGGGTTACCCGGCATCCCTGCCCACCACCACGTGCCCTGTCCGATCCAGCCGTATGAGCCTTCCGGCACCCGCGACTTTGATCCCCATTGTCCAGTTTTCCACCAGGCCCAGTTGTCCATATCTCCACTGGCCATGCTCCATTTGCAGTCAGTAGACTCGTCGAACTTGAAGCCGCACACCTTGCGGCAACGCACCTCCAACCTCAGGTTTCATGAGAGATGTCTTCTTTACAATGTTACAACCATGGAAAGCATGCATCAAGCTGTGCACTCTGAAGGTTTCGCCCTGGCAGCCTTCTGCCGCGCATCGCCAGCTGCTCGATGACCTCCCCCTCCGGGCAGAGGAGCTCCGGGCACTTCTGGATATGGACGATTCCACCTTGGCTTCAGTGGCTCGCGTCCCGTATCGTGATATCATGATCCCCGACATAGTCCTCATTGACTTGCCGGGCTCTCTTGCCAAGTGGCTGTATCCGTTGTATTTCTTCGTCCAACCATGGTTGACCCACCATTCAAGACCGGGAACGTCGCACTCCACGAAAACCGTCGTGAAGTCTCTGGGCATGGTGATCATGGTGCCCCAGTCGTTGTCTATGACATACTGCTGGAACTGCTGCTGGTTCATGTGTTTATCCCAAATCGCACTCGCGACAGGTCCCCATGCCCAAGGAACCCAGTCGTTGCTCATGTGGGGCTGGTTCATCAGGGCCCCATACCAGGACAAGTTCACAGCTGCTTGCAAGGTCGACAGATTAGTAAGAGTGGCATCAACCTCAACAACCTCTGCTTCACTGTAGTCGAGGAGAGAGGTGGCCTGGCTGGCTGTTTCGTTGGCCATCTCGCTGTTTGAAGTCGAGTTGCCGCCGCTTGCCACTCTCTGCCGAGCCTTCGCGAAGGTCATGGCGCGGGGCTCCAGGACCGGCTCGCAGGTTTCTGCCAGCTGGCAGCGCCCGGAATGAAAGGAGGTATAGTAGCCACACCTTCTGTCTGAACCACCTTATATCACAGCAAATTTAAACGCGCACCATGGCTCAAAGCACAAGATCCGGCCACACACAGCCACATTTGGCAAGCGTTAGGACTGTTAGGAGACAGGCCGAAGAACAGAGCTGCTGGCAGTTGGAGTCTGTCATATCGAAGTAAACACCGGCAGCTCCTTCTGCGCAGCCATATCCACCAAGGTGAAAGGTAAACTCGTGGCCAAGCGTCTGCGCCACAAATGTCTGTGCCGCGGTCATCTGCTTGCTCAAGCCGCTACTGCAGGCGTCGCCTGAATCCAAGCGCATGGGGCTTTTGATTTTGGGGCGTTTGCGGGTTTTGGGGCTGGTGCTGGCGGACTTTGGAGCTGTTCCTTGCCCGGGGCCTGAATCCGAGCAGTTCTCTGCGCGAGCTGCGGCACCATTGAGGGTCACGAAGCGTCGGTGCGCTACGTTCCAAAGGCCGAGATGCCCGGCATCACCTGACATCACCGACACTCATAAAAGCGGCGGGGAGAGCGAGACGAAGCGAAAGAGCAGAGTGAGAGAAAGGGAGAGAAGAAAAGGGGGAGAGATCGAGAGGAGGGAGAGAGACAGACACAGAGAGAGAGAGAGAGAGAGAGAGAGAGAGAGAGAGAGACAGAGAGAGCGGACAAAAAAAGAACACAAAGACAATGCAAGCGTGCGAACGCGAACCGTAAGCACACCAGTTGTCCCAATCAAGCAGCATGCATTCCGCACGTCCAAGAGAGGGAGCGTGTTTAAGAGGGCCGAGTGGCTACCCACGGGTTTGAAAACCACGCTGTCGTCCATTTGGGCGAGATGCTCCCAGTTCACGGAATCCGACAGCTTGAGCTGCCGGTCGGAGACCTGCAGGAAGCGCCGACTGGGCTGGTTGTAGAGGCCTACCTTGCCGTGGCCAGCTGCGACCACCAGGAAGGAGATCTCGTCCTCCAAACCGGCCCAGTCCAGCTGCTGCCGGGAATGCGAGCCGAAAACGGAGCCAGCAACGCTGCCACTCAGGAAGCGCGTGGCCTGCATGTTCCAGAGGGAGATCGTGGAGCCGGGCTCGAGCTGCGCGTGGCCCACCCTGCCCCAGGGCAAGGCCGCGAAGGACACCTCAAGGGGGACGTCGATGGCCTCGGCGGCTTCCCCAGCCCAATGATCGGGGGCGAGGCACTTGCCATCCCAGGAGCGCAGGGTCTTTCCGTAGTGGGCCTCGAACCACTCCTCCCCACGCTGGGCGCGAGAGTAGTCCAGGAAGCTCGACGGCTCTCTTGCCGTGATCTGCACACCGATCTGGCAGTTCAGGTCCATCATCGACATTCCTCCGAATTCCGTGATCCAGTAGCCGTTCACACAGGTCATAGACATTCCACTAATCTGGACCTCGTGATGAAAGGTGTGGTAAAGGTCGGGATGGCAGGAGACCCGCAGGGCGGTGCCGGCAGGGAAACTCGGTCTCAAAGGCTGGCGCTCAGAACGGTAGGTGCTTTTTGCAAAGCGGCAGGTGTCACAGCTCTCGACGCCAGGAACCTGCAATCGCTTCAGTCGGTGGCACTGCTTCAGCTGCTCCTCAAAGAGGCATGGGACCTCGCCACTTTGCAAGTCCTCACGCCCTCCCAAAACCGAGGTTTGGAAGCCCGTCAAGAAGAGCCTGCGCTTCTCGTCCCAGCACTCTTCCGGATTAGCGATGGCACAAGCCTCCTGAAAGCTCAGCCCGAACAACTGGCCCTCGGCACCGACCTCTACCTGCAAGGAGTTGCAGGTCAGGTAGAGGCGGCAGAGCGAGATGCCTGCGTACTCCCCGACCCAAAAGAACTCCAAATGCGCCTGCCTGGTGGGCTGAGTCAGCGACGCACAAGCCCGGAAGGCCACCTACCCTGCATACCCTACCACCCCTACCCACCCGGCATGGCCCAACAATGCCCACCGAGAACTACTACAGTCGTAGCACTTCACAGGCCGAGTGTCTTGGCCAGCACCTCGCAATCCTGCTTTCCCACGTCCTCGCAAGGAGCATGCTGGAGCATGTGTTCCTAAGCCACAGAAAAGCACATATAGCGCATATACTCACATCGTCACCACAAAAAAATCGCAACGTCGATCACCAAGATGACACCAAGCCCCTCCCGCCGCGTCCTGATGGGAGCTGTGCAAGGCGGTGATTTCACAAGTCACGGCTCCATGCACCAGCAGCTGAGGTGGGGGAACGAAAGCATTGTCGGAGCCCGGCGGCATAGCCTCAAAGGCCTGCCTTACAACAGGCCAGCTGTCGCCATAGTTGCCAGGGAAGCACTCGCAGAAGCCCAGGGAGTGGTCGTCCATCAATTCGGTCGTTAAGTCGTCGAAGCGGAAGATTCTCTTGGCATCGTCCGGGTTCGGAAACTGCTCTGGTAGGCCCTGGGCGGCGCGGAACTCCTCTCGGTCTTGCAACGGAGACTTGCACTCGAAGACCCAGGGTTTCACCTCGACAACTCTCGGCGTGGAGGCGTTCGCGTTCTGCCGGCTTGATTCGTCTGGCGACGGGTAGCTGCCACCGGCATAGCCATCAACGTCGAAAGCCTGCTGCACCACGTCGTCAGAGAAGCACCAAAGGATGGGACCCCGTAGCTCCAGGCTGTCGCCGACGAAGTCCCTCGCAGACTTTCGCCGAATCACCCAAGCATCGCGGGACCTGAAATAGGCATGTAGCTTCATGAAAAGTAGCTAGCTCTTCGGCGCAACTGCAAGCTGCCTGCACGAAGTGTGGCTCTGTCTATGCATGCCATTGCTGAGGCTCGGGCGGATTACCACACTGCTCCGGGGCTGCTTCTGAGAGGTGATCAAACTTGTGAAGATACAACGTGGAATCGTCGGTCACTCCGTCCATGCTGTAGACTGGCAGCTGCATACGGTTCTCCACCGGGCAGAACTGGCCAGACAGGTATGCCTCGCCTGGGACCGCGACCATCAAGCACTGCTTCAAAGGGTCACAGTCCGTGACCTTCACGTGAATGGAAGTGAGGTTTGAGGTAGTGGACACCGTATGCACCGCTTTGTAGCAATTGCCTGCAAGGTCCAAGCCCGCAGCTGCACAGGTCTTGTCCGCGCGGCACAGGGCACGGCACTGGGCGACTGCACTGCTCGACGACGTGGCGTTGGCATTGCTCACATCACTGACATTCCACGTTTGATGGGAGAGCGCAATCAGCGGAGCAAAGTCCTCCTGCCCGATGCTTCGTTCGAACTCTGCTTCTGCCAAGCTCACCACAAAAAAAACCCTACAAGAAACAGAAGTCTCTTTGTTAAAGTCACTGATTTCTTTCGGCTCGGTCTCCGGCCGACCCCTCGTCCAGCACGTGTCGTCGGTGACCGAGACCAGGAAATCGGCCCTTTGGAGCCGCTTGCTGAAGGGGAGGACGCCGTAGGCGCGGCAGCGGAGCCGAAGCTGGCACCGGGGCTCCAGGGCCCGGCAGTGTCCCAGCAACGAAACCGCCGGCTCACCTAAAGAAGAATTTGTAACAACAAACCACTTTTCAGCTCTTTTTTGGGTTGGGGGTTTTGGGGTTTTGGATGGGTTTTAGGGTTTATAGGGTTCCACCGCACATATGGCTGGAGCCCCAAGCGCCTGCAAACTGCCCCGAGCTGGTCAGGTGGAACACGTCCACCCCGTCCTGCGCGCGAGCAGAGCACATTCCCAAAAGCTGACCGGAAAGCAAACAGCTCTAAAAATGGTCTTTGTTCTTGCTCTGCGCTCTCCGGCCTTGGTCAAGACGCCGCGCCGGGCCTCAAAGCGGGTGCCGTTGCCGCACTCCACGTGGTATGCCACAGGCGGGTCAATCTCGGCTTCTTGTTGAGAGCTCAAGACGGAGGACAGGCGGTAGCTCGTCGTGGATCGGCCAACCACGAGACTCACCTCATTGACCTTGACCCACTTGCGCGAGGCCTCTGAGACCAGGAAGAGCTCGGAAGGCTCATTGGCAGCCACCAGCACGGTCTCCGTAGACCGTGTCACCATGGTGCAGTTGCCCCACTCACCCTCCAAGCACCCCTTGGCGCTGACCTTTGAGCATTGACAAGCACAGATGATATGTTTGCAGCACAAAAAACATACATGATGCGACTTCCACCATGGGCTCAGATGCAGCCTAGATGCTGTACAGCCGGCAGTGCGCGGGATGGGTGGCTGGCCGTTCTGCGAGATGGTGCCCAGGCGGTCAATCTGTGCCCAGGGCAGGTCCGGCGTGCAGCGGAGCTCGAAGTGATCCCAGAATCCATGAAACGCTGGAGCGAAGCTTTGATTTTCGTGGGTAAAGGTCAGGGCGCTGCCGCTGTATGCGAAGTGCACCACTCGAATCTGAAGGCTCGCTGAGGCTTCCGGGATGATTGCATCAGAGCCGGGTGCCCGCGAGGCTGTAGCAGTGATCTGGCAGGCGATGGTCTGGGGCTCTGGCGACTGCAGCTCACCGAATACCTGCCCCAAAAAGGGATGAAAACATGGGCCTCTGCTGCATCCCACAAGAAACCTGCAAAAAAAGCCCCTGGCGCGGCTAGCCGCGTCTCGCGCGCACCCACAAGGAACTAGCGCCCCCGCTACCAGTGGGGCACCTTGCCGGTTCGGCCGTCCATGGTCAAGTTCAGTTGGTGCACCATGCACTTCTCCGTGAGGTAGGTAGCATCCAGGCGCGGTAGGGGCAGCATGTCCACATTGGTTTTGCCGCAGGGCACGTTCAGAGCGGCGTAGGCAAAGGACGAAGCTCCGCGGACCCCACCGCCACAAGCGCAGCAGGCCTCCGCTGCAAGCAGGCCCTGACTCACGGTGAGGTTCACATCGTGGACCCTGCCCAGCTGGCAGATTCCCGACCTCTCAAACTCCGCACAGCTGGAGCCGTGAGCATCGGCCCACGGGACATCGGCACAAAGCTGGCAGATCTGTTGAGATGCAGGACCGGGGCCGCTTGACGTCGGGGCAAAAGGCCGGAAGCCGGCGGCACACTGAAGGCATGAGTCTGTTGCAGGGTCGTAGCGCTCGCAGCCAGCACAGGCTAGGCTGGCGATGGGGCAACACTGCTGATAGACCTTGCCCTCATGGAAATCATTCAGGAGAGCATAGTTCGAAGGGCAGACCAGCGAGACGTCGCTCGCTTGGAAGCCCAAGTTGGAGAGTGATCCGTGCATGTATTCAATGCCAGATGCAGTCTCAAGACCTCCTCGCCCAACCGTGCCGCGGCTCAACAACGAGGCTCGACGGCACTCTGGATCAGCCTCGGACTCTTTATGTCGTGTCTTGCGGTTTTGGGGCAGACTCATGTATATACTGACAGGACATGTGACAGCTCTTTCGAAGGCAAGGGTACAATGTGGGGTAGAGTTCGCAGGGCCCACCACGGGAGCGAGGATTCGGACTTGTTGAGCTCCGGGGTGGACTGGAAAACCTCAGAGACCTGTGCGGCCGAGGATGTGTGGGCGCGGTGCTGCAGCACACTCGACCCTGTCACAGCACAGGCTGTGACATCCGTCGCGGCGGCAGCCACGAAACAATCAGCAGCTGCAAGAGCTGTAAACCAAAGGTGCATGGCTGACGGTAAATGGAGACAGAAAGTTGCTTGACAGTTCAAACTTTGAGCACAAAGCTTCGTAAGCTTGCGATGTAATGCATGATGCGTACGGCAACCTCCAGTACGATGCAATGCAACCACGATCAACCACCTGCATCATGCCACAGAGAATGACATGGTGCAGCAGAAACCTTTCCAAGAGGCAGACGGGCGACTTCCCGGTCGTCAGATGCAGCTTGGATCAAATCCTCAGGCGGGAACAGCATTGCTTTGCCCGAGTTAATCGAAGCAGCTCAGCAGGCTGCCATGTCCGGTTGCCACAGGGTCCTGAACGAATTGGCCAGCAGCTTTCGCAGCTTTGTCAATTTCGTAGCGGACTCATGGCACAAATCAACTGTCTCGGGCAAAGGCGATGCAAGCTAGCACAAGATCGAGGTAGCCACGCTGAAGTCGCCAGCGCCGTTTCGAAACAGACTGAAACACAAGGCCCCGGTCCCCCAGTCAAGGCCCATACTGCAACTCTCTAAACTTGACAATCTGCAATTATATTCTCCCAACCTCTTTTTCTGCACGAGCACGCCTCGCCTTGGACACAGTGATTCTGCCAGATACTCGCTCCAGAAGAGTCCGCGCCGGCATGGCTGTTGGCGCCTGTTTCTGTTTTGCTGCCCCCACGAGGTTTCGACTATGGGCCTGTTTGGCAAGGAAAACCATGCGCAACAAAAGGAAGCAATGCATTCTGCGGACTCCGTCCTCTATACTAGTAAAGCTTGCAAAGCGACTATAAATCCTGCCAGCGGTGCTCATGCGTTCTTTGTTCTAGACTCAAGATGATCGGGGAGGCAGTGGCTGCCCTTGGCAAGACATGGTCCTACACAAGTGCAACGCGAGCTCCGTCCAACCCTCAACTGTTCAACTGCTTCCTGCGACGATCTCGCTGAATGTCTCGATTCGAAGGTGGCCCTGTACCACATGCGCTCTACAAGCTAACGACGGCACAGCCACGACAGAAAGATTCAGTGGTGACACATTTGGCACACCATGTGTCTTGAGACAACGGTGCCAGGGTGCGGAGCACCTAGAGTGCATCGTTAAAACCGTCCAAATTCAGATGCCGATCAGCAAGACACTGCTCAGACTCTGCACCAGCTACATGCGCCTTCCTGACTATGACCTGCTCTCGGCTGCCTGCTAATCTGCCGACCCAGAGAGGGAAGGCTGGGCAGGATCGGAAATAAGAAATAAACCTGGCATGATACACCTAAAAACATCCTACAACATGCAGAAGTTCGTCTGTCACAGCAACTTCAGCTCTTCTCCACAAGCGTCGGCTCGGACTTCGACTGCTGCAGCCGGCTACCTGGCAGCAGTGCGAAGCCTAAGCGGCGTCCCCGAAGCCCAGATGCATTCGTCGTATCTGGGAAGCATTCGCTCGACAGATTTCGGAAGCACCCGCGTAAAGCTCGCCCACCCATCCTCGACGTCTTGCAGTTGCAGGCGCGTTCACCCATCCGCGTGTCAGATGCAGCCATTCAGGAATCTTCTATGCTGCACGACCCGCGGCACAGCCCCTGAAGTCCATCCAAGCCGTCACTGTCTGCACCCAGCATGGCAAGCGAGCTTTTTTGAGGTCTTGTTTTGAGCAGATACACCACACCCCAGGTGCGATGGGTGATGGTAGCTGCAGCCCGCGCAGCACTCTCAGCGTATTGGTCAGTGCACAGTTGTCAGCCGTCGGCTTTCGGCGAAAACTCGAAATTGGCTGGGGAGAAGCTTTTTTCGGGGATGATCACGACACTGTTTCGCGGAAACCCGACCAATATCTCCACACCCTAGCGCGCGCACACCAAACAGTACTTCAAAAGCAAACCCTCCTGCGCCAACGTCTGGGCTTTAGGGTGTTGGCGAGCTCCTCGCACGTACAGCTGGCATCTTTGCTTTTGATGCCTATACGATGTTGCGCTTCAGGTTTTAGGAGTATTAAGAACCTTCTTGGCAGCATTTGCGACTTGCACGGTATTTGCAGTGTTCTCATACTATCCGACCACCTCTGGTTTAGCAGTTTGTTTGCCGTTGAGTTTGCAACTCCAATTGCTGCTGTTGCGGTGTTGGGGCCTGTGCTTCTGAAACTTCACCGGCTGTGACACTTAAGGACCTCTGCAACTCCTGCAGCTGTCACAGATAGGGAGCCTAAGCCCCTGCATCTTCTGCATGCAGCTATTGCAGCTAGGGAGCCTAGAAGCTGCCCACCGCCCAGCCCGGATGGAGCAAGTGTAGTTGTTAGGGGGGATGGTAGTAGTAGTAGTAGTAGTAGTAGTAGTAGTAGTGCTAGTGCTAGTGCTAGTGCTAGTGCTAGTGCTAGTGCTAGTGGTAGTGCTAGTGGTAGTGGTGGTAGTAGTAGTAGTAGTTGTAGTAGAGGTAGTAGTAGTAGTAGCAGTAGTAGTAGC